TTACACTAATAACATCATTGTTTTCATTTAAAATCATTGTTCCTCCATGATCCATGCTTTTTCAACAATAAGAAAAGATTACAGAATAATTTTGAATGAAGCAGTGTTGATAAAACTTAGCCAGTGTCCTATTAACAGTAAAATATCAGGGCAGCCATTTTTTTAAGTAGTGTTAGATTCCTACTGACTAAAACCACCTCCCCTTCTCTACGACACATCACGCCGGTACCGCTTTCGTATTTCTTCGAAGTGAGGACTGTGTACGTACTTCTACGCGCTTCTTTAGTTTTTATGGCTCCTTTTATTACTGTATAGGCTAGAGTCCGGGTTTTCCTCTTTTCAGGCTATTCATCAGAGTTTCTGCTGTAAAAGGAATGCTCACAGCTATATAGTGCTGATGTCTTAACCCAGACTATCTTGGATATTCGAACAAGGTATGTTGAGCATCATCTATCTTGTTGCAGTATATACAATGGTTTGCTGGTGATTTCGCCCGATTGAATATATAACTTCTTAAACACCCATGGCCGGACAAGGCGTAGGTGGTATAATAATCTACTTTACCATATGGTCTCTCTACCCATTCTCTAATATTAGGAATTAAACTATACGTCCATCTTCCATACTTGCCGTTGATCCATTCTTTTTGACATTTTATCCATCGTTTATTTGTAGCTTCAGTTTTCAAAGTTTCTTGGTATGTTTCAACTCGTTCTTTAGTTTTATATTAAATTAAGCTATGATATATATGTGACAAATTGATAGTATCTTGTCTAAAGTTAATTGATTTTTTTTCTTTTTTAATATGGATCATCTCTTTTATAGTTATTTTTTATAATTTTTGTCCTTAGTCAAAATTTTTGTGTTTTTAAAATTAAATTCATGATTCTCTTCAGTCTCATGTACATGTAAGGCTGTTGTTGCATTTTTCGTATATTTGTGTCCTTTTATTCTGTTTTCCAGACACTGTATACTGATACTATTCTGTTTCCAGATACTTACTGCTTATAAGCAATGAGAATATTACATTATCTTTATAATTATAGTACATGTAAAAGTTAAATGCACATTTTATTATTTCATTTATTTAATTTTTTATTATATTCATTTATTCATTGTTATCAATTATTGAATTTAAGATTATGGAAGAATTTCTTGCTGATTCATCACCAACAATCAGCGCATTATTCTTATCAATAGTAATTATTTCACTTGTTTGTGTTTTAGCATTATTAATATGATTCTGATCTTGCGTACCTGTTTCTTCTATAACACAACCTCATTTTGACATCCATAGAGCCGCCTGCTAAATCCCATGAAATATCCTACTTGTTATTTGTTCTGAGAAAGTCACTTTTCGCACGATTGATTTCATTTGAAAACAGTTAATTCTCTTCTTCAAGTAGTCATTAGCGATGAAAGCATTGATTCTCCAATTCTACCAAATTTTCGCGCAAGTGTTCATTGGCTGCCGTTAAGAAACTTTTTCTTTATCCTCTGTTGCTTCTGTAAACTGATATTAACATATTGGCTGAACCTGTACAGCTTTTGAAGAAGCAGCTTTAATGGGATTCAGAGCGTTTGAGATTGTTTACTTTTAAAAATTCTATTTGTTTGAGTTTCTGCATCATTGCAAGATTTAACTTTTTTGTTTCGAATTTTCAATTTTTTATTGAGTTTTTAAGTTGCTCGTTTTTTTTGCGTAAGCGTTTCATTTTCTTTCAAGTATTCCTGTTCTGTTCTTGTTGCCTCTTCGCAAGATGTTGTTACGTTTGTTACGTCTACGTTTCAAACGAGTTATATCATTGTTTTTTCCTAATATTTCTATCTGAAGTTTGCGTATGATTAATTTCAAATCGCCAATAACATTTATTTCACCTTCATTTTTTGTGACACTGTTAATGTATTTTTGTGTTCACCATATTAAGTTTCCATTTACCACTTCCAACTTTTTTAGCCCCTGTTTAAACAACTCTTGTGAAATACGTTTTTACAAATCAAACAAAAATAATTGGATGGATCCTTATTTTGTATGATCCTCATTCATAGAATACCTCATCACTGAGAGCGCCGAGACGACAACCATTCGTGCTATTAACTTTGGCACAACTGATATTGGAGATGGATGGATACCCTTTATCCGTCCTATATACTGGCTTTTGTCAAAGCCCTGGGACTGTATGATGAGTTATAGCTCAAGGAAGGGGCACACAATAGATCTGTATGTCACAGTGATTAACCCCCTCCTACTCATTCTATATTCTACATGATCCTCATTCGTATGATCGAAGAAAACGGCGTCAAAGATGTCAATTTTGGCGAGGTCAATCTCTAGATATCATTTACAAAAAATTAGCAGACACCTTGTCAATAATTACCTAATAATGGAAAGGACAAAAAGGATAGAACGTTTCCAGACACACAAATCTATTTCCAATTTGTTTTTTTTTTGAATTTTACTACACCATTTAGAAATCATTTTTAGTCAATATAAAAAAATAAAGAAAACCAAATTCTATATAAAATACCTCACATACTCTGCAGGAGGAATACATGATAGCTAAAGAACTTTTTCCACAATGGAATACATGTTTTTATGTTTTGTCTTATATAATAAGTAAATAAAAATGTTTTACCTAATTATTTTGGCCACAAGTTTTGATTGGCGTTGTTGACAGGTGACTAGTTCGTAATTTCTACACAGATTTCGAGACATTTTGGAAACAAAGTTTCCATTTATTGTCGGTTAATTTTCGAAACACAAGTTTTTTTCTTTTTAGACACAAATATGATATAATGTAGATGATTTGTGTCCGACTCCATGTCAATTTTATAAAGTATAGTGTTTAGCGATAGCGTTTTTAACTAAAAATATAATATATTTTTAGTTAAAAACGCTATCGCCGATAAAAACATATTATGTTTTTATCGGCTGTTAAGCTTTGGGCGTCGAGGAAAAGTTCGATCGGTGGAAGGAGTATGTTGAGTTGCTCTACGCAGATACACGGCCCGATCAACCACCCATAGCTAGTAATCTCAATGATTCTAGTCCTGATATTACAAAGGAAGAAGTCAAACGTGCTATAGAGCTTCAGAAGAAAAACAAGGCAGTAGGACCAGACCAGATCCTCGCGGAAACCCTAAAGCTAATCGCCGATGCAGATGATAGGGGCCTTAAGATTCTTACAGAACTGTTTAATTCGATATACAAGGCCGGCAAGATACCCACTGATTGGATAAAATCCACTTTTATCCCATTACCTAAAAACCAAACGCTTCTCAATGTGACGACCACCGATTAATCAGCCTGATGTCGCATGTCCTCAAAGTATCCCTCCGCATAATTCATACCCGTATATACAACAGATGCGAACGACAAGTTGGCGATACACAGTTTGGATTTAGGAATGGAGTTGGCACGCGCGAGGCTCTTTTTACACTAAACGTTATTACACAGCGATGCAGGGACATGAACGTCGATATATATGCCTGCTTTATAGATTATAGGAAGGCCTTTGACTGTGTGTCGCATCAAAAACTTGCCGAGATTCTTAGAACCACCGGTGTGGATGAGGAGGACTTACGCATTATCACCGAGTTATACTGAAACCAGACTGCAGAGATCAGGGCGGATGGCGGAACATCTGATGAAGTAGCAATTAGGAAGGGCGTGAGGCGGGGGTGTGTATTATCCCCTCTCTTTTTCAACATCGCAGATGATACGGTTGTACTGGTTGGCAACATTCTACACCTTCAGAACATGATGGACTGCATCGTTGAACATAGCATGCAGTACGGATTACACATCAATGTTAACAATGTTAAGTCCTCGGAATTAACAACAAGGTAGTAGAACAAGTATCGTCCATAAAGTATCTAGGAGGCCTCGTAACGACGCTAGCGACTCCAAAAGTGAAATTTTAGCTAAGATCGAACAGGCCAGACGTACTTTTGCTTCCATGAAAACTCTCTTTTCCAGCCGAGATCTAAGCCTCGAACTGCGTATACGTATGCTGCGTTGCTACATCTTTCCAGTATTTCTCTACGGCTCTGAGAGTTGGACACTCAATCAGACATTGGAAAACCGCATTAACGCTTTTGAGATGTTCTTGTATCGTCGTATGCTGCGTATATCCTGGGTGGATAGAGTGACAAATGAGGAGGTGCTCAGGCGGATGGGCAAAGGTAAAGAGCGCCTATCAACAGTGTAGGAAAGGAAGTTACAGTACGTCGGTCACATCATGAGGGGTGATCGATACGAGGTGCTCAGACTGGTCATCAAAGGCAAAATTGAGGGCACGAGATCAGTGAGAAGAAGGCAAAACTCCTGGCTTAAGGATCTGCGTCGTTGGTTCGGAAGAACATCAATTGAAATTTTTAGAGGTGCGGTTTCACGCACCATCATAGCCAGTTGGATCTCCAACCTCCGAAGGGAGACGGCGGCCTAAGAAGAAGAAGCTTTCAAACTTATAAGAACGCGTTCTACTTACATTAATTTATATATTTTTATTTTTAGAACCATGATATAGAAACAAAAATCTATATTTCAAACAAAGATATTTTGTAGCAACAAATAATGATATATAGAAGGGGCACTAAAAATATGTAAAGTACATTATTAAATTAAACGATGAATTTGGTTTTTCAAACATTTTTTGTGCGAGTAAACCTAAAAACAAAGATCTTAAGACAAAAAAATTATGGCGGAGGCCGACATTGTTGATGGTTGTTTTCATTTTGAAATCAACACACAGACATAGATCATTTTAGTTTGGTATTTTGTTTCTTCACATTTAGAGACAGTGGTTGCTGAAAACGGGAACATCTTGGACACAAATTTCAGAAAATATTTCAAAACATTTCCTCTAAAAGTTTTGATTCCACATCTAAACATTTCAGGAGAAGTTAGGCTAGTGCCACCACATTGGAAACACATGTAACCATAATAAATCCATATAAAATATATAGGTTTCCAAAATTACCTAAAATGTGTTCAAAAATGCTACTTGGGCGGTGATTAACGCCCTCTCTCCCATAAAATCTACTATAAGGTATTGCAAGCTTACACAATATTTTAATGGTATTAATATTAGTTAATAGTTGCGGCTTTACGTCTTATCTAGCTATCGATCTAATCAGCAGGTGTGATTACTGTCGCAATAAGCGTTACGGTGGAACGTTAGGATCGAGAGCAAAACACGGGCGCGAATTCCCCAAGCCTGGAAAATATGTAACGTGTTTTGTCGGCCCACACAAATAAATTTCCACGTCTCGCGTCCGGAAAATCGTTCACTCTCACTGCGTCTGACGTTCGGCGCACCGTAACTTTGAAAGTTGGGCGGCCGACGGCGACGGCAGATTGAGCGTCGCGACGTTCGACGACGTCGCGATAGTCTGACGGTGGAGTCGCGTCCGTTCGCACGTACGTCACTACGAACTAGTTTAGAGCAGCACTTAGAGATCGCGTAGCTTTATATACGGTTCTGAAAATTTGTTTTTGTTATTGTTTTCCCGGAAAGTATTTTTACTCGACTTTTTTTTCTCTTCGATAGCTACATTTCTGAAAAGGTAGGTGAAAGAGTGAATATTTTTTGAATTTCTAAAGAAATATTTTTTTAAAAGTTTTTTTGTTTATTAGTAATTATACAAAGTAAAAAAACTATATAATAAGTTTGTCGTATTTTTTATTGATTTCATTTTTTTAAACTATGTTCCACGGAGACTGTTTATATTCTTCTGTTTATACTTTTTAAATAGGTGGAAATGTGCTTATTTTTAGAATTGCTAAATTTACTTCTTGAACTTGTATTTTGTAAGGTACGTAACATTTGAAATATTGATATGTAAATATTAATGATTTATTAGTATCTACACAATACTATACTAGTTTTTATTACTTTCTTTTGCAGAATAATATGTGAACAAAATTATTTATTAATTAAATACTTGTTTAAAGTTCCAAAATATTTTACTTAGAACAAAAGGTATTTAACGAGACAAAAAAATTACTGGTGATAAGTTGACTTTCATAAGGGTGATAATGCTCGATTTTCGTTACTATTTGTAATTATCTTACGTATTTTCTACTTCCTACTCTATATTAGGCAAATTGCCTGTTCGTTAGGGTGTCCGTTGTTTACAAAGTTGATCACGACGCCCTCTAAATTCTTAGTTTATTGTATAAAAAAAATAACAGATTATTGTAAACCCTTAATATTCACAATAAACCTTGTCCCAAAAACGATTCATTTCCCATATAAAGTACAGGGTGGGTCAAATTCGACGCTTTTAAATGGAAACACCCTTTTCTATAGAAGATAGACAAAAACTAATATCGGTGTCTGGAGCTCAATTTTTGTCAAAAATATGATGGTGAAAACCGCATATCGATATCTGTTACCGTTTGGGAGTTACGGGGTGTTTTTCAAAAATATGCATTTTTAACAAATCACTGGAACTTTTTTGCTATGGAAAATTTTGTATTTTTATAAAAAAACATTTCCAAAGCACCTCTTTACGTAGAATCTAATGGTTTAAGTATAATTTTTTTAAAATTAATAATTTAAGAATTATCAACAGAAAATTTGATTTTTTAGATGGGACAGCGTGTATATTTTTAATTTATTGAAAAGAATTTAAAATTACTTTTCTAAAAATATAACACACTTGATATTTTGCTCGATTCCTCTTCGAGATATAGAGTATATAAAAATTCGCCCGCTTTAAATAAGTAGGCTTTGAACGGCACCGGCTCGGCTGTAATGCAAAAAAATTCTAGCAGTGAGCATCAATTAAAACGAAAATAATATTTGCTATGAGAGATGCAGAATTTTATAACAATTTCAAATATATTTAACCAACATCAACACATTTAAACTATATCTAATAACAATAAAAATAAATAGCAAATCATGACATGAAATTTTGCTGCAGGTGTTCGACATATCGACCGTCTTCTGTTATGGACAGACGGGGCAATTTTTGAACATTTCTCGCGGAATTCACTAACTCAGTAGGGGTGAAAGATACCCTCTCATAACTGCTGAGTATTTGTAATTCTTGTCTAGATTATACGGAAGAATAAGGAACCTTTATTCTTCCGCAAATATATCCATAGGATTAGATCCATGGGCACTAAGTCAGGCGGCCTCGACGGCCAACGGCTGGGATCTGGGATAGCTATTCAATTATTCTTGAATTTGGCTGCAAAAATTTGCTTATAACTTCAGCGTTCGGAGGCGGTGCGTCGTCTTGCTGGAAAAATATGTTTTCGAATTCCATTAAGGGCATATCATCAATAGGGGGTCCAAAGCCTACTAGTTAAAAGTGGCGAACTTTTAAAAATTCTGTATTTCGAAGGGGATTATAACAAAATATCAAGTTTGGTATATTTTTGGAAAGATAATTTTAAATTACTTTCAGTTAATTAAAAATATAGAGGGTGTCCCAAATAAAAAATCATTTTTTCTGTTGATAACTCATAAATAATTAATTTTAAAAAAATTATACTTAAACCATTAAATTCTACGTAAAAAGATGCTTTGGAAATGTTTTCATAGAAATACAAAATTTTCCATAGCAAAAAAGTTCCAGCGATTTGTTAAAAATGCACATTTTTGAAAAACACCCCGTAACTCCGAAACGGTAACAGATTTTCACCATCATGTTTTTGGTGAAAATTGAGCTCCAGACACCGATATTAGTTTTCGTCTATCTCCTATAGAAAAGGGTGTTTCCATTTAAAAGCGTCGAATTTGACCCACCCTGTACATGGGAATTTGCCACTTTTTGCCAATAATTTTGTTTCTCTTGATCTCTTTGAACGTTCTACAAAAAAGGTCTCTTACAATTTTTCGATAATCCTTCAAAAGTTATTCACGGTTAAAATTAACCATTCGGTAAATTCCTAAATTCTTCAACTTCAACTGATTATTTTGCGTTGAAGTGCGCTTGAGTAGAAAAAATCCGTATGTTGGCAAGAATGTTTGTAAAAAGGAATTCAAATCGTCAACGCAATAGAAAAAAAATATTAGGAAAATAACAGAAAATTACCGAACTTACTTAAAATTAGTTAATTAAGTACTGCACAAGCTCAAAAATAATAAGTATTAGAATTAAGTACCTGTCATGCATTCAATTGTTTTCCATGACAATATTGTGTATCATGGTATCATGAAAATTGTTTTTTTTTTCAAATAATAGATTAAATTTTTCAAAAGTAATCATAATTTTGTCAAAAAAGTTGAAAAATTTAGTAATTTACCGAGTGGTTAATTTTAACCGTGAATAACTTTTGAAGGAGTAGGTTGATCGAAAAATTGTATAGAATTTGAGAGAACAAGATCAAGAGAAACAAAATTATTTGCAAACAGTGACTAATTCCCATGTAATTTAAATGGGAACAGAATCGTCTTTGAGACAAGGTTTTGAAAAGCTCTTTTCGGTGTTTCGGGATTGTTATGCGGTGCATATTTCTGAGATTTCTATGGTGTATATTTCTTCTGAAGTTCACTTTATCGTTAAACATATTTTGGAGATTTATATTTAATTATTTTATAGCTCATAGAAATGGTATGCATTTTTCTACGGTTAAACATATTAAGCCACCCTATATCTTTAAGTTTATGTGACATACCATTTCTACGACGAATCACAAAAATAAGCCGGAGACATGAATCTTGTTCCATCCGAATCCTGCGAGAATCAACTTGATCCAAGCAAGGACCATAAACGACATCACAATGGTTGAAGTTCGAAAGGACTAGAGAATCGCATAAAACTTTTTTTATGTCCTTACTTAAATATTTTCTTTTATTATAGATCAATTTAAGCGCACTATAAGCTTTTTTTAGTTTGTCAGTAATATGTTCATGAAATCTAAGATCAGGGTCTATTATAAGGCCTAATGATTTTGACGTATCTGTGATAGGAATGGGAATATTATTTATTTGTATATTAAGGCCTTTGTTTACTCTTGATCTAAGTTTTTTATCTCTCTTATTAATTTTTAAGTGATGATCCATTGAAACCTTCATTAAATCTTCCAAGTCAGAATTTATATTCCTTGCTGCAATCAGCAGATCCTTTAGAGGAAAATGAAAGTATAATTGGGAATCGTCAGCATATAAATGATAAAGTAAAATTTCAAAAAGTCCTTAAACTGACTTGTATAAATAGTATACAGGGTCCGGCAATAGTGCGTCGGGCATCTGTAGCTCCTAGAATAAAAAACTTAAGAATTTTGTTTAAGTGCATACCTGAAGTATGTACCAGGATGTATTTCAGGAAAATATTTTAACTTCTATAGAGTGGTTCAAAAAAGTGTGAGTGGCCCTGGATGATTTTTTTTAAATGGAACACCCTGTATATTATTACATTTTTGGCTTCCTTTCCGATCACTTTACATAACTCTAAGATATGAATAAATACATTTTGATAGTTTCAGAGATATTAAAAAATAAATCGAAAATATATTTTTTTCAGCCCTTCTTAAAAAAATTATTAAAAATACAAGAACTGTTCTGAAAACAAAACTATATTAGGGATTTACTTTAGATGGTCTGTATTTACTTTGCTATAAATATGAAAATCGGAAATTATACAGGATGTTCAAAATTCTACGCCAAACTTTCTAAAATATAAAATTATTTTTCTTCGTTTTTTTAAATGGAACACCATGTATATTATTTTTTCAATAGACGGGAATTAATTTAGACGGGAGTATTTCAAAATTTTTATCGGTTTCGCAGATATTTGCGGTTTTATGTTTCATATGGCATTTTTCACAGTAATTTTTTATCAAAGCCACCCAATAATTTTTCTCTCGTATTTTAGCATTGAAAGCGCCATATGAAATAATACTGCGTGTACCTGCAAAACCGTTAAAAATTTTGAAATACTCTAAATACAAAAAATGTTCATTTTTAAACTCTCCATCTAATAAAAAAGTAATATACAGGGTGTTCCATTTAAAAAAACAAAGAAAACATATTTTATATTTTAGAAAGTTTGGCGTAGATTATTGAACATCCTGTACGAATTACGATTACTATATTTATAGCAAAGTAAGAACAGACCATCTAAAGTAAATACCTAATATGGTTTTGATTTCAGAACAGTTCTTGTATTTTTAATAATTTTTTTAAGAAAGGCTGAAAAATATATATTTTTGATTTATTTTTTAATATCTCTGAAACTATGGAAATATATTTATTTATATCTTAGGGTTATGTAAAGTGATCTGAAAGGAAGCCAAAAATGCAATAATATACAGGGTGTTCCATTTAAAAAAAATCATCCAGGTCCGCTCACACTTTTTTGAGCCACCCTATAGAAGTTAAAATATTTTTCAGAAATACATCCTGGTACATACTTTAGGTTTGCACTAAAACAAAATTCTCAAGTTTTTTATTCTAGGAGCTACAGATGCCTGACGCACTATTGCCGGACCCTGTATAGCAATGGTCCCAATATACTGCCCTCAAACACTCAAGAACGCAGTCGGCGATTTTAAACCATCCTAAAGAACCTGTGTAGACGATCACTTAAAAAGGACTTAAAAAATCTAT